ATCTAAGAAATCGTAAGCTTGAGGTCATTACTTGTGCGTAGGAGAGTAAATATGGTGCTACTAACAAATCCAAAGACCTCGCATAAAATTAGAAAACTCGTTGGAAGCGACAGTTATAATTTTGTGGTGTGTTCAGGAGTTTGTTCGAGTCACAGACGTCAGTTCATAATGCTGTATCTGGGGTATGCAACTACTGACAAGGAAGTAGCACCTCATATGTCGAAAAGCACTAAGAAGTACATTGGCACGAACCTATTGAGAAATCTGCAGTGATTTTCTTTTTACGTATTGCAAGACGGTGAAGCGGTATAGGTAGTTTTACGGACGAAAAGAAAGTCTAATCTGGACGGCACCGATAGCCTAACAAGTCACAATTAAAAGGACTAAGTGACGCTTCCGCCCCATGAGCTTATTCGTGGCGGTAATGCCCTTTTTCAAGTCGTCTTTGCCTAGCTTGTGTAAGAGACGATCCGTTTTCACTTTACATTTCATGAACTCCAGTGTTTACAAGGGCCTCCCCGTAAACGGCTCAACACCATAAAAAAGGTATCCATTCGTGCGCTTCAAACTGCAGCGAAATAACGTCGTTATTCTCGATTGCGTTTCAAAATTGGCTTGGCTCAAAAAGTGAAACTTCAGTCTGCTTGACAGACCATAAACCTGAAACTTATTCAATCAAGAACCACTCCAAACTCCTACATCCTCGTCCCAGACTTTCAGCTGCTGTGGGCACTTGTTCAAAATCGAACAATCAAAGAATTCCATCCAATAAGTTTGGAAGGGCGTACCGCTCCAAAAATTCTCATTTGTCTTGAGCGCGCCAAAGCGATGACTGAGACTACCGATGGAAGGTGTATTGTTTCAAGGTTCCAACTGTTTTTTTTTGCTGATAATTCTGGTAAACTGATCATTAAGAATCTGAATACCGAAAAACCCCATACTTTTGTAACACCATGTTCTTCACAGGAAACCTAAGAAAATGTACATCTGCAATATTCTCCTAAGCAGTTGCCGATAAAAATTTGAAAAGAAGACTTTTGTATATTCATAGAGATATCGTTCATAAAGCGGGTGAACTATAATTTGGAACCCACTGTAGTATACATGAGTTTGCGTATGCGTATGCGAATGTGGGAAAAGATACTTTTGTTTCTCTTTGGTTATATTATTGCGTTATCATAGAAGTAGCAGCGTAGACATGCGAACCCTTCTGTATCTCAATAATAGTGTTGCAGTCCAGTTGCAGCCCATTGCATATCATCTGGTGATGCAGTTTCTGTGAGTTAGTGCCGTGATAAAGTGGCCCGTTTTTTAGGATTTGGCAACAGAGGCACTATTCATTAATCAAAACTTCCGCCGTCAAGTGCTGAAGCGTAACGAACACCCATACGTCATGGCACATCCACGTGCACCTTTCGAAGAAGAGGGTGGTGAATCAGGTTGTGGTTATCGGTGAGTGTTTGATATACTAGAGTTCTTTAAGTACGAAATTGTGACCTATGCCACTTCTGAAGATCCGTTCTTTGAGGTGAAGGAAAATTCTGTTCGCTCTGTTTCCTGTAGGCATTAGATTGCCGAACACACTTAAGATTTCTTATTTCCTAAGGCACAGCAGAATTGAAAATAATAACATTTTCACGGATATTGTGGCTTATAGACAATTTTTATTGGTATTTCTTCGTTGAGTTTTTCTGTTAAAGGT